CCAGCATCTTCTGAGCTCATCCAAGCAGAGGGTCAGGTTTAGGATAAATGCCAGACTGCAGGTACCTTGTTGTTCTTGGTCCCTGGACCGCAGGGCACACAGGCCTGGACGCCGTAAGGCTGGTGGGCTTTCAGAATTGTGTTAGGGGGACAGGAGTGGCAGGTTCCTGAATCTCGCTCAATATAGTAACCAGCAGGACAAGAGGTGCAGGAGGAGCCCACATCAGAGGCTTCTAGGGCACAGGGACGGCAGTAGGAGGCCACGCCATTCATAACATTGGTGACATTGATGGAATAGATCTTGGCAACGTCATTGGTGTACTTCCTGCTCTGGAGACAAGGAAACAAGAGGGGAGAGGGGAGAGGCCTGAGACAGCAGCAACAATTGAGGCTTCTAGAAAGAGCAAGGTAGTTAATCTTCCATCCTGTGATACTCAAGAAGAATCTTAGAAGCATCTGACTCCTTTTACTCACTTACCAGTAGCTCTTTATATGTATTTGGTGTCATTTTAAAATGAGACTGAACCATTTATAGGACATATAAAAATATTAAGTACCATGGGGAAAATGCATAATATATACTGTTTTATGAAAAAAGCAAGTTTTCTCCTTGTAAAAGAGGAAAAAATGTATTTGTACAGAAACAAACAGTGTATAGGAGATGGTCCAGATGTTAACTGGTTTATCTCTGGGTAGTAGGATTATGGCTGATTTTATTTCTTATTTTTGTTTATTTCTATTTTCTGAGTCTTCTGCAATAAGCCTGTATTCCTTTGAGTTAAGAAAATAAAACCAGAGTTGTTATTATTAAAAACAACAACAAGTGTGGTTCCACATGTATCAGGGCAGGGACTACAAGGAGGGCCAGCTTATTTCTTAGTGTCATCTTTCCAGGAAGTCATCCGGACAGACGAGGTGGTCCTCAGAGGCCTGGGTCAGGCAGTTTCCTGCTTGACTCCCTAAGATCCTTCTCACCCTTGGATTCTGAACTTCAGACTCACACTTAAGCTAATGCTAGGAATCCTCCTGCGTTCAGAGGGTCTCCCCTAGGAGCTGAGGGTCTGAGGAAGGGGAGGAACTTACTGCCTCATGAAAAGTGGTCCTCTGGAAGGCCCAGGTGAAGCTCGTGGTCGTGTTCTCCTCAATGATGTAGGTATAGGACTGTTTGCCTTTGGAACCTTTCCACGTCTCCACGGGAGTGTTGGTCCTAGAATTCACACCCTGAACCCAGGACAGACAAGTGAAGAGGGTGCGATGGCCAGAGGGGAAGTGGGTGCCCATGTGGCTGCCATCCCAGGTGCCATCACGGTTGGTGAGACCCTTGTTAAACTGTGAAGTCCCTGCCGGTCAGTCTGGGCCTTTCCTCTGTGGAATCACTACAAGGGGGGTGTCAGTCACGTGGACACACCAATGGGGCAGACGGGGTAACCCTCCCCTGGAGGCCCTCTAGCGGGCAAAGAAAGGAAAAACGTACCACCATGAAGTAGAGCTCACAGTTCACAGAACAGAGGGTCTCAAAGACAAATGTGATTCTGGCCACCTCTTTATTCTCTGTGTCTGCCATCACCGACTGCGGAGGTCTATA